GGATTAGAGATATACATGTGTGAATTTAGGCTCGAGAGAGTTACTTTCACATGTTGGAATTGGGAAACACAACATAGAGTTAGTTGAGTTCGAGAGGCCAATTGATTCGGGAGGCCAATTAATTCGGAAAATTAAAATTAGATTGCTTAATGGATGCTTGATTCGGTTAGGCTAATAGGGATATTGTTTAACTGGGTTTTGCACACTATTTTGCTCGGCACTCGGCAGAAGGAGTGAAATTACCTTCGAAAACCTAAGATTAATGAATTGAGTGGAATTGGCTATCATTGGCTTGATAGAATGAACATAGGAATAATAAGGTGAAGTTAAGTCCCTAATACATTTGTGCATAGAAGTTTTCATATTTTATCTTGTTTTAGTATTTATATTTGTTATAGTTTTACTTTTATTTCATTAAGATTCGGTTGTCTAGATAAAGTTAAGTTACGATAATTGCGGTACTTAGCGTCAATTTAACACTCAATCTCTGTGGAGACGATACTCACTCACCCTACATTATCAAAACTTGACACTGTACGCTTGTGAGTGAACAAGTTTTTGGCGCCGTTGCCGGATATTGGCGTTTTAGATTGTTGCTAATATTGTGAGTAGGTGTTTCTTTACTTCTTATTGATTTTTATTTTGCTTTACTTTTCTTTGTTTTTAATTAGAATGTTTTTGTAGTTTTTATGTTGTTTTCCTAGTTTTTATTTCTTTTGAGTGCTTTATTTTTGCGAGCTACTTGGAGATGTCACATCGACTAGTTCTCTTAAGATTTGCTCAACGAGAGTCAGAGTCCTTTTATAGTGCTTGGGATAGATATAAGGAATTGCTCATTGAGCTCCCCAAGCATGGTCTCTCGAGAGAGTGTCAACTACAAAACTTCCTCGATGGAACGCCGCAACACGAACTTGGGTGGAAAGAGGAAATGGTATCACCTCTCTCTACCAATTATCAGCGGATGAAGTGTCTTGATTTTTGGAAGACATGGCCGATTATGACAATTGGTGTTGGAATCATTCTCCAAACAACCAAGGTTGGGAGGAGAGTTCTAACTTTTTGGAGCCATGGTACGACACTCAACCTCAACAAGTGAAGTCTTCTCTAGACCTTGAAGAGATTCTTGCCCAATTCGTGGTGGAGACAAGACTTAGTAGAGAGAAGTTGGTGAGGATTGAGACCCTTTGTAACTTACAAGACGAGTTTGCCCGACTTCAAGCGGAGTTTTCAAGAATGAAGGAGTCTTTAAATGATTCGATTGAAACCATGACAAGGAGGGTGGCAATGAGAGACTGACAAGTCACCAACATGTATGAAAGCCACCGTGAGGAGCCGAGTATAAGTAGGAGGAACTTCAATTTGTTCGATGATGATAATTCAATTGAGGAAGAGACTCGAGAAGTGTTCATCGATGATGATGAATCACAAGATGATGTTCAAAAGTCTACACATTTGAGATCCAAGTTGTTATACCACCACTGATCAAAGAAGAACACATCTATGAAGATCCAATGTGGTTGTCACCTCCTCCACCATCTCTAGCACTATTCATTCAAGCCTCCCAAGCTTATGAGCCTGAGCCAAGTCAAGTTGAGCGAATGAGCCAATTAATTCCATATCCCGCCAAGCTTGAGGGCGTCAAGAATCAAGACCCATATGTCGTGTTGTACGGCACGTACTATGAGCGGAAGCCACTCTTTGACGAGCTTTCACGGTATTGGAATTAATGAGTCTCAAGATGCAATTTATGGAAGAAGGCCCGCAACAACCTGAGTATATGCCACTATGCCCTTAGCATCTTCGCTGACCACATTAGGAGGCGAGATTGTCTCGCCTCAACGGTACATATTCTTGTTCCCTTGTGCTTAAATTGATTATTTAAACATTGAGGACAATGCTTCTCTTGAGTCTGGGGGTGGGAACACTTGTTTATTGATTATGTTGGGTTTTGATTTTTGCTTTTGTGTTGGTTAATGTGACTTTTCTTCCTATGAATTGTGTTCTTTTAGCTAGAATTTTATTTGTGTTTCTTTTAGTTTATTTGAATAAGTTGTGAGTTTTGTTGAAATGAGATAGATTCGATGATGATAATGAATGTCATAATTTGTTTCTTAGGTGTTTGGAAATGTAATTCGTTGAGTTTTATGTGTGCTTTATTTGCATTGATTGAACCTCGTTTTTTATTCTCGACTTTTGAGCACTTCGAACCATGATCACTTGATATTTTGAGCCTTTGGCGAACATTTGTGTGCATTAGATGAACTTTGATATCTCATGAACTCTAGAACCCATTTGAGTGAAGCTCGAGGTGAAATCCTAGGTTGGGGTGTTGTTGGAGAAATGATTTAGGCATTTTTTTGGATCGTTTGAGCCTTAAATAGCTAACCTATAGAAAACTTACCACTAGTCTCCCCCATTGAGCCTATGTCTAGTCTCCCTCATTAAGCCTATGTGACCCCGTTTTCTTTCATTACCCACATAAATTAACCTAGCCATTTTATGAATGCCCTTCACTTAACCTATCATTTATGGGCATGTTTGCATCATTGCATGAATTTGAAGATATAATTGTTGAGAGCAATCATGAAAGTTTTGAGCATTTCATTTGTGGTTTGGGAATTCAAAACAAAAAAAAAAAAACAACAAAAAGAAATTCTTATGAATTTCTTGTTTTTGTGCCCGTTCACTTCGCTGATTCGAGTTTGTAATTCGAGTTGAGATGTGATTTTATGTGAGAGCTTTTTACTGTAGCAAAAAAGTTAGATGTGATTGTTTCTGAGAGCTTTTACTGTAGCAAAACTCAAATTCTAAACTCGAATCGGCGAAATGAACGGGGCCTTTGTGTTTCGAGTTTATTCACGAATAAAGTTTTGTGGGAATGATGGTAAATAGAGAATTGAGCAAAGTGGGAGTTGGGGTGTGAGTTTCCAATCATTCATGCAAGATCCATGGGGTGCACTTCATGCCTAGGGTGATCTTAAGTCTAAAATTTTCCATCTCATCTACCTTACACTCTAGCCTTACATTACAACCCTTAAAAGACCTATTGATCTTTAATGACATAGCCGACATTAGTGGAGAGCAACATGAAAAATGGGCCTATGGTAGTTCTCAATTGCATTATCTAGAGATCTCTCATAGTCTGTCAAAGCACATAGGTCTATCAAGGTTAAATTTATTAAGTGAGATTGATTCGGCACACACTTACACTTAGAGAGTCTTGAATGAGGTGAAATTGGTGCTTGATGTTGAAATTCTAAAAAATCTCAGTGTTTGAATTTCCTTTGAACTTTGATGCATTGCATGGCCTTTGAGATATATGTCTAGCTATCGAATGGATACAAAACTCACACCTTAGTTTTTAAGTTATTGTTGGTTTACGTTGTTTTCTCCTTCATTTTTATTTTGCTTTCTTTTGTTTTGCTTGAGGACAAGCAAAGGTTTAGGTTTGGGAGTATTTGATGAGGAGGTTATTTACCGACAAATCAAGAACCTTTGAGTTCAAATATTTGTAAGTTTTCAAGCATTTTTATTAGTTTAATGTGCTTTATTTTGTTTTTGCAGGTTGAACCTAAAATGGAATAAAATGCGCGAAAATTTAACTTCAGAACATACTTCAAATTTTTGGGCATAACTTTGTCATCTGAAGTCCAAGTGAGGTGATCTTTGTGGCGTTAGAAAGATAAGAGATAGAGTCACAACTTTCGTGAAGACACCAAACGCTAATTCGGCCATAGAGAAGGCGAAAATCCTCCTCAAAGTCAGAAACCCGCTATAGCAGGAAAATCCACCCGCTGTAGCGGGAAAAACACCCGCTGCAACGGGTTTGCCTGCGCCACTAGGGTTTTTTTTTTAGAAATCCTAACGGCGTTGCAATGCCAATATGCGTAATGATGTCATTTTAGGGCTGATTTGAGGGGGGATATAAAAGGCAAATGTTCTAAGAATCAAATTGATGGAGGAAGAGAGGAAAAAGATGTATAAAATCCCTAGAGAAGAAGGAACTTTGGAGGCTCAAATCCCATGATTTCATTGAAGATCCTTGAGAAGATGGTGGATTCAAGCTTAGAAGATCATTCTTCCAACATAGTTCTTCCTTCTCCCTTTATTTCCTTTTTAGTTTTTTAGATTTTGTTTTTGGTTATGGATTCCTCTATGTTGAGCTAGAATATTATTTTAGGACTTAATGTAATCTTATTTGAACTACGTTTTGAATATTTTGCCAAATGTTAGTTTGATTTCCACTTAATTCATTTGTGTTTCTCTATAGTTATTGCTTTAATTTCTATTTTCGTGGATTAGAGATATAAATGTGTGAATTTAGACTCGGGAGAGTTACTTTGACATGTTGGAATTGGGAAACACAATATAGAGTTAGTTGAGTTCGGGAGGCCAATTAATTCGGAAAATCAAAATTAGGTTGCTTAATGGATGCTTGATTCGGTTAGGCTAATAGGGATATTGTTTAACTAGGTTTTGCATACTATTTTGCTTAGCACTTGGGAGAGGGAGTGAAATTACCTTCGAAAACCTAAGGTTAATGAATTGAGTGGAATTGGCTAGCATTGGCTTGATAGGATGAACATAGGAATAATAAGGTGAAGTTACGTCCCTAGTACATTTGTGCATAGAAGTTTCCGTATTTTATCTTGTTTTAGTATTTATATTTGTTCTAGTTTTACTTTTATTTCATTAAGATTCAGTTGCCTAGATAAAGTTAAATTACGATAATTGCAGTACTTAGCGTCAATTTAACACTCAATCCCTATGGAGACGATACTCACTCACCCTACATTATCAAAACTTGACACCGTACGCTTCCACAAAAACCATGAATTTCACTGATATAAAATAAACAATCTGCTATCAACTAAATCACCCAATTAGCATTCTTGTATCCGTCAGCTATGACCTATAACAGACAGATAAGTTTTCGAGTTTACAACCCATATAACCCCAAGGAGACTAACGTTTGTGCTGTCAAAGATAATATATCATACCGTTGTGTATGTATTTAGCCGCGTGACTTCAAATCCACGATTAGACAAGCCGTCCTCTGAAATATAAAGAGAATACAAGTTATCCTCTATGCAAAGAAAACCGAGAAACTAGGTCTCAAAATGGACTGGATCAACGGATCTGAATAAAAACATTCCACGTCTACTGTTTTGAAGAAAGCTTTTAATAATGCAACAGAAAGAATGAAGGGGTGAGTTTAAACTATGTAAACTTTTATGCATAATAAAGATAAAAAAACAATGCTCTAATGAAAAGTCAAAGCTGTCCTTAAGAAACCACTGTAAAGCACAAGAGGATTTGTATCCTTTGCTAGCTTTTCTTATTTCGTGAACTGGCTTCTGAAAGAGTCAAGTGAAATTGTCCTTCAAAAGGTCAATTTACTTCTAGTTTCAATTAAAAAAAAAAAGAAATAAATGAATAAAACCAACCAACCAAACAAACAAATCTTTAAAATAAATCATCTCATTCACACCCGTTTGCAAGGTGCCAGGTCCTAAGACCACTTTTTAGTTTAATAACTTATGCTGGTTTTTTCCATTATGCATAAATTGGTCTGATAAGAAATATAACCTATTTTCAAATCCTTTAAGACACATCTATCTCGGATTGGCCAAACAGTATAACTACTTATATGTCCTATGTACTCTATCAGTGCGTAAGTTTAAATGCGTTATTGCCCAAATCAGCCAAATCAACTATGCAGAATCAGAAATAGACCGTTATATTATTTGAAAAGAAAGACTTCAGAAGATAGACATTCATTTTAGTTGATTGTGAAATGTGTCAAGACAACTAGAAACACCAGTAAGGAAAGCATATAACCAGAAAAACACCACAGACCAATCTCATTGCTGGCCTTTGCAGAAGCGGGATATAAGACAGTGCACTTTGTGCTGCTATTTTTCGGAAGCTCCGAAGCCAAAACCTTCCCTGTTGCTGAAAAACGACAATTAGCAAAAAGTTCATTAGTTCCACCAACCAATGTAGTATCCAAAGCGTGGCTTTTTCTCCCCTTCTTTTGTCCCAAAGTCCACACAGTGGCTCAACGAGAGATATAATATTGAACCACTACCACACAATAGTAATATGCTTATATAAGAAATTTCTTGGAAATAACTCCAGAAGTGCAGTAATATTTTGCTAAATAATAATTCCTTACATTCCAAAAACATGATTATAAAAATGGAATGACCCTTCAATACTCGTTGTACAGTTTTTATGGGATTTCAACTCTTTCAAGTAGCCAAGTGAACCATAATAAACATGCGTGAGTGCAGATGCCCAAGCATAAGTACCTTTTGATGGCACAAAAGCAACATCGAGAGATTGTTTCAATGATTGCATTACTTCCTTAAAAATGCTTGCTGTGCCAGCCCCAACAACAGCTATCTTAACATTTGGGGTTCCAGATGCCCTATGGAACAAAACAAAAGCAAGTATATCATCAGTAACAGCCATACCATACTGTATTACATTCTTAAAATAAAATAAACAGCGACAAATGACTTGAATATCTTTTAGACACCCCACTTTTAGAATTTACATATTTGTATCGAAACAGAAGAATATTGCACACTCATCATAATATCAGGATAAAATGCATGCTAACTAGAATTGATATAAGGTTATGGAAAGGGGGGGCATATCCAAAGCAAAGACATATTTCAGATTGTATTTGGGAAATCGAGGCAACAAAAATTAACATATACACTGCAGGAATTAGTCTTGCATAATAGAAAGTACATAGTTAGAAAGTTCTACCCCTTACTTCCATGCCTCTAAAAAGACCGAACCAGCTTCAGGGGAAGTTATGACAATCCAGTCAAAGGCAGTATCTGCATCCGCTATCATCGAGGACCAAAAACTGTCAGTGAATGAATTTTGTATTGTAATTGAATAAAGACAACTAAACACAAGAACATTGTGCACTGTAGAAATTTAATTTTCATTGGCAATATGTCAGACAATAAATAGGGATTCTACCACAGGCAAAAACTCCTTAAGAATATAAACTTAATCCAACCATAGCCAGCATCTGCAGCCATATAGTTGTCTGAACCACTACATGGTTAAGAAAAACAAAGATAAATCCTGATTCAGCTCAACAAATAGATTGGGCTGATGTCAATTAGGTACATAATCAATATTCTTTTGGCTACGAGATTATGTGGGGGAAGTTGGATACTTCAGAGTACATAAATTATTTTGCAACCGTAGCTGTTAGTACACATTGTATAAGCAAAAGGCAGTCACCTTTCGAACTCATCATCAGCCAAAAACCTCTATCCCTGTCAAATTTGATAGAATCACCAGCAAATGTTGCTCCTTATTCTTTGAAACAGGGAAGAAAGTTAAGAGCTTACCACTTAATACAGTAGAAAGCCTATCTAAATCAGGTCCTTTTGTATGCTTAATGAGGGGAAGCTCCAAACAGCTAATTCCATGTTTAGCCTGTACACAACACGTGCAATTTTCCGTCATCATTCCAGGGATGTATTTAACTGCCTTATCCATCAAGTTTGCTGTGGAGTATGATGGATTGACAAAACTATATGTCAACTACACATGTTCATGCATAATGCCAAGCAGGGGCGGAGCCAGAGAATTGAGTGAGGAGGGCCAGATTTTGAGGGAGGGCAAGCATATAAATTTTAGATTTTTAGGGGCCACAAACTACAAAATTCAACAAAATACACATACAAAATTAAGAGAAAAAAAAATCAGATGGGGGCCGCCCACCCTCGGGAAGGTTTGGCTCCACTACTGATGCCAAGTACTAATTGCTATCATGGACCATTATAAAGGTTACGTGAAATTCTACTCTGACACTTTCTACCAATGCTAACCAAAAAAAAAAAAAGGGAAAAAAAAAAGAAGGAAAAGGAAAAGTGAGCTTAATAAACATGCGGCATCATGTTGCCTTTTCAGACTAATGCAGAAATTCACTCCTCTATGCCCAAAAAGCTTCATTAGTGGGCAGAAGATGAAATGACAGTGTGGAATAAGCTCTGAATGAAAATAAAACTTCAATGAGAGTTAAGTCAAATATCTTTATTTAAGGCTTTTTTTTTTTGTTTTTTGTTTTTTTTTCCCCTTTGCAAGTAAGGGAAACTTGAATGTCTCATATTCAGAAACATGGAATTCTAAAATAACAATTAAGAATTATTAAAAAATGGCTCTTTCTCGCTGCTGTAAGCCATCAAAACACACTAGGCCAACGTTTTTCCAGAAATTAATCGATTCAAATAAACAAAAACCAAAACAAAAATCAGCAACTATGAAAACAAAACAAACAGATTGTTCACAGGCAAAAAAAAAAAAAAATGATAATAATGAGAATGCGTCATTCGGTTCCGCATTTAGTCAAACACCTAATCTGATCATTTAATTCTCAATAGCATGCACGAAATGCATCTAAACCAAAAACATATTTAAGAGTTCGACTCCATTACAACACCAACAAGAACCAATGAGAAAGCAACGGATTGAAAATATAATGCAGAAAGAATCCAAAACCCTAGCATTCCAAAACAATGTCCGAGAATCGCATAATCAAAAGAAAGCCTGAGAAAATTCTCACGATGTGACAATGGAGGAGTGAGAAGAGAAAACAGCAAGAGAAAGAAGTACCAGAGCATTGACGAGCTTGCCATTCTTGCCACGCTCTCTGGTGACCACGACTTTTGCCGGCTTCGAAGTTGAAGCTGAAACTGAAGCTGAAGAAGATGAAGAAGAAGAAGAAGAAGAAAGAGAAAAGATTCGCCGGTGAAGATGCCGACAGGAATGAGCTGTCGAAAATGGAGGAGGAGAGAGAGAGACAGAGGAGAGAGAAAATAGCGACATTGAAACGTGTTGCACATACAGGAATGCTGAGGGTAACAGCTATTACCCAATTAAGTATGAAACCTTCATTATTTTATTTCTGTTATAGCGGTAAGGGACACGAAATCCACCGCCAAACCCTTTTTCAAGTAGCGGGAAAAAAAAATGGTTTTCTTTGTGTCACTAATTTAAGTTTAATTACAGTAAAAAAATTTTAAAAATAATTATATTTAAAAATTTTTATTAAATTTTTATATAAATATATATCTTAATTCAAATAAAAAATGTAAATGAGCGAAGTAAGTTCAAAACCTTCGTTATTTTATTTCTCCATCGTTGATTATTTTATGGTCAAGACTCGAAGATATTTTACCCATAAATTAATTTTATGACTTTGTTAGATGCTACGTGTATGCGTATTATAGGGCATCCTCCGTTACTGATCAGCCTATCATGTGCTTTTCCTTTGTACGCAATCATTTCTTGGCAAGATCAGTGGGACCTTTTCTGATATAAGCCGTTGGATTTGCTTCTCAATCTGGAAATATTTTAATCGAAGGGTCCAGACTCGAGAAGTAATGGACACCAGAGACTTTTTTTTTTGTTTTTGTTGACATGGACATTATTGGTTCCTCTGCGTCCCAACCGTTGGGTTATATATGTCGTGCACCCCAGGTCCCAACATTTGAGTTTCTTACGACTCGTCGTTTTAATACAAGACCAAGGCGGACCAATTTCTTTCTTTCTTTCTTTTTTTTTTTTTTTGTGAAAACCATTTTTTTCTTTATAAATTAACAATAAAAAAAATCACGTCTTAATCGCTAAACCCATATTCTAATATATATAGTAGACGTAGTAATAATTTTGTCTAATTTTGTAGTTTAACTTACAATCTAATGGTGAATTTATACCTAACTCTGTCTTAAGATATAGAGTTTAAATTTCACACCTTCGACTTAAATCTAAGAGATAATTCATCTGACTTTTAACTCAAAAAAATAAGTCATGGAACATCTCTGTTTTTTTATGTATACAAATTCTGTCTTATGATAAAAAGGAAATTGTAGGGAGAAAAAAAATTGAAAACAAGTATTATTTCTTCTATGGTATTTCATATATGACAAAAGAAAAGAAAATATAAATGAGTCACGAACCATCATTCGAACTACGATACAAATTCTCATATCAAACACTTTTTTAAATAGTTATCCTTACATATTTTTATAAATAAACTTAATTATTATTCTTCTTTACATACAAAACAAAATGTTATTTAATTAGTGGCGGTGCCGGGGGAGTGTGTGGATCACGCTCACTGACTAGATTAAGAATAGTTGGATTCTTTTCCGGGGACCACGACTCACGTGCATAGATTACGTTACTTTTCTAATCAAAATTAGTCTATAAATAATTACTGTGATCCCCTTGGACCACCAAAAGCTCCAATGGCGTGGAACTGCGTGTCATCATTGCCGTCGTATTACACGCTACGCAATAATAATTTTAGCTTGTTCCTTTTGGGGGTTAAATTGTATATTATATGCGTATTTCAGCACAAGAAGGGAGGGAGGGAGAAAAAAAAAAAAGAACAAAAGAAGGCATGTTCCTCAAGTAAAAGGAAAAACCGAAAATTACAAGCGAAAAGCTTTGAGCTTGTATGATGAGTTTATTCTCAAAAATCCAAGATCCGAAGTTACAAGTTGTAGCAAAAAAAGAAAAAAAAAATGCTAGATCGATACTTGGGCAGAGTGCTGAATGCTGATAGGAAAAAAAATAAAATAAAAACTGACTATGCCACTAAACCGCGCATGATGCGTGTTTACTTATCAAGATTAGAAAATAAGAGTGAAAAATTAGAGTCGATCTCATATTTATTTACTTTATTTTATTTTAAAATGAAAATATGATTGGTGGACCACGCTCAAAGTTCAAATTTAAAATTAAGAAATGAGATTAGCAAGTTGATGCCTACCTCCAAATTGGCTCTATCATTCTTAAAATTAACATTAAACTACTATATTACTCATGGTTTACTTATAAGCATACAATTTAAAATAAAATTCAAAAAATAATAATTACTTTACTATTTTATTTGCCTAATATATATTATTAGCTTAATTATTATTAACTTTTATATAATAAATATTTACTTTGTTTTGTTTATTAAAATAATAATATTTTTTAATTTTTGCCACTTTATTTTAATTTTTATTTATTTTACTCAAATTTTGACAATTTATATTTTACTACTCTATTGTTATATTAAATATTTTAATTATGATCAATTTTCACATAATAAGTACACGATTAATTTTTAAATTAATTTTACAAAATTTACTTAAAGAGTATATACTATCTAGTATCTCATAGAATACTGCTGATTCTATTTCAATGATTTCATTTAAAACGTGAAATTTGAATCCTTTTTATTTTATTTCTTCTCTTCAATCATTGATAAAAACTAAAAAGTTACAAGTTTAATTTAAATTAATCACTTTGACTTACTGTTTTTACGTATATTATAAGTAAAAAAGCAGTAGGAATTAGAATGAACAATGCAGTAGCAATAAATGCAAAAATATTTACTTTTACATTAGTTCATTTTGATTTTGAGCATAAGTAAACGCATTAGTAGGATGTAGAATGATTTTGATTTTGAATCATGTTACTAAGTAAATAACTTATTCTGATTATAATTCCTTATTCTAAATCCTACATACTCTATATCCGCAGACTATGATTTATGTCCATTCTATTTACACATAAATAAACATACCATGAGTGTTAATTAAGTTGTATATTGCTATTGAAATCTATACCATTTTATTTATTGTTCTTATTTTTTTCACAAAGGGATTGAAATTCAACTTTTTGAAAATTGGTCATCAAATAATAAACGTGGCATCTTTTATCTACCTTCTTTGGTAGATGAACAGGACGCAAATACAACCCATTTGATGTGAAGTGTGTAAGGTTGTTATTCCATTTACAAAACAAGTTGTGTTTGCGCTTAATTTGTTTGACACAAATATTAAAGTGATGTTTAGTATATGGATCATAGTTTTAGTTCTGTTATAGTGTTTTTTTCTCGTAAAAAATTTAAATTTTAAGTCATAAGAAAAAACCCTAATTTAAACTTTAATTTGAACACATATAGTCATGTTTGAGTTCACAAGTATGTTACCAATAAATGAAGATTAACACAATACTATTAGTTATATTATTTGACCAATTCAAGCAAATAAAAAAAATAAAAAAGAAAAGGCAAATGAAAATAACAAACAAAAAAATCGATATCCAACTCATTCGCAACCGTAACAGCACAGCACATTTGCTTTAGAAATTAATCAGAATTACAAAACAAAAATGTGCTCTGTGCATGTATCGTGCCCCCAAGCGCTAGACGCAAAGAAACCAAAATTGTCAACATTATCGACTATTCTTCCCATTACATTCACAAACGTTGTGCTTAGGGAAGTTCCAAAAGTAAAATAATTGGTAATCTAGCAAAAGAAGCTAAATCAGCTTACTTTGTTCTGTCGTTTGCCTCAAACGGCCTTTAAAAACTAGCATTAATCATTTAAAAGCAGCATGAAAGAATTTCGTTTGTTATGCACACAGCAGGCAATTCAGAAGTCAAAGAAGAAGATAGTTCGCATAAACATAATCATGGATAGTAATTAGGGGGGAAAAAAAAACGGAAAAATCAAGTGCCCCATAAAATGTTGCCACAAACAATATTCTCAGAGGCCATGCATTCCAATAAATTTTGTCTTCAAATCCAAAGAGCCTAAGCTAAGATTATTGACCAAATCCTTATCTAATGCTACCTAACTTTGACAAAATTCAGTCCACTCCTTGTCAGGAGGGAATATTAATAAGGATTCCTTCTACAGCACCAAGCAAGTCGTGACAGATAATTGCAGACTCTAAGACTTGTGATATAATTTGATTACCAAACTACTAGAACTACTCCTTGATCGAATCCAAAGCTCGGACAAATCACACTGCTACATTTCACTCGTTCGCCGTAGGCTGCCATAACACGGCATATTCGATCAGTTCACTTGTTGCTGATGGCTTCCATACAGGGGATAAGCTCCATATGACGCAGCATACATGCTTGGATCATGAGGTGGTGGCAGAGCATATCCATATCCATCGTAAACTTGTCCTCCATAGTAAGCCCCACCCCATTGGTTGCCAAAATCACCTCTGTACTGTAAATACCAAAATGGCAATTAAGAAAAATGAATTAGTGACCAGGGTATGCAAAATCCATTGGCAATATACTTATATAAGGTCACTACAAAACCTTTCACTTTTTAACTGTATTCTACAAATATGCAGCTTAGTATAGTGATTATTTTTGCAAAATTGTACTTAACAGTCCAAGCAATATTCTAAAAGTTGGTCATAACTTCACTAATCAGATATTTGATAAATAAGAGTGGCTAATTCAAGTTGGTAAGTACTGGAGTTCTGTTGTTCTTGCTGTGTGTGTGTGTGTGGTGGTTGCGAGGGGAGCTATGAAGGAAAAGAAGGGTACCTGCTTATTTGCGGGATTGCGTCCCCATGAAAGGCGCACTGTTTGCTTGCCAATTACTGTTCCATTCAGCTTTTGCAATGCCTCCTCTGCATTATTTCTGTCACAAGAGTTTAAAAACGATCATTCATTCAGTAATCTGAATCTGAATTCTTTATAGTATGCACCACTGTTGTGTGCGCCAGAGAATATTACGGAAAGAACAGAAGATTCACCTATTGGCAAATTGCACAAATCCACACCCTTTTCCAGTTGGGATTTTTACAGAGACAATCTCACCGTACTGAGAGAAAGGCTGCCTTAGATCTTCATCAATAACACTAGGGTCAAGTCCTCCGACAAATATCTACAAAGAATGCGATTCAGCCAAAGGAGAAGAAAAAAGTGACTGTTAATAGAGGCAGCCAAGAACTTACTGTTGTGTTTGAAGAATCTCCATCAGATTGGAAGCCTTGTGTTGATGCACCATTTGATGCATACCCTCCTGAAAAAGTTGAGCCAAATTAAAGCAAAATAGAAGAGAGCAACATTAAACTAATCAATAAAATTAATAAACTGACTAAATAAAAGTGACTAATAATGAAAATTAACAGATAGAAAAAAAGCAAGTAGAGTAAATAATGACCATTGTGATATCCAGATGACTTCCTAGGAGTCGCAGCACCGATGCGCATGGGCCTGCTTGAACAATAAACACCATTCATTTCAGACATGGCTTGTGACCTTTCATTATCATCTCCAAACCTCACAAAACCATAACCCTTTGAACGGCCAGTACTGGCATCAAAGACAACTTTTGCAGCTTTAACAGATGGAAATTTACTGGAAAAAGTTTCAAGCAATAAACTATCTGTAACATCTGCAGCTAAATCTCCTACAAATATCGAAAGATCGGAAGCGTTATTATCTGAGCGCTTTTCCCCGGTGCTAAATGACGCCCAGTTCAGACGGAAGGGCTGGTCTATGTTAGGCATTGGCATGGCACTATAACTCTGCAGAACTGTATCAGCCGTTGCATGTGAAAAGAATTCCACAAATCCATAGCCCTCGGACAAACCAGTTTGCTTATTGCGAATAATCTTGATGGAAGCAATCTGCAATACAATCATGAACTCTATTTGTTCACACACAGAGAAAGAGACACACGTGCATAAATTTAGACACATATACACATGTCGCTAATTTTCCAAAGACTAACGAGAAATCTATGAATTTTTTTTTTTTTTTTTAGTTTATCAACAAGTTGAAGAACCACAATGACCCACTTTTCCACAAGCTTTACACTCCAATTTCCATCATAAAACTTTTAATCAGATGCAACCATCTTGTGTCACAAGAAGACAAGCCTTACTAAAAAGAAAACATTAAGGTGACCATCATGCAATTTTTTTTTTTTTCCTAAAATGAAAGCTTTTAAAATAGAAACTGCAACACAAACAAGTTCAACATGCAAGAACAAGCTTCAAATTAAGCAATATTATATCTTGCATCAAATGTCTGCTCCTAATGGCCGAAATTAACAAAACTCCTATAAGAAACTGAAAGAGAGTAATTCAATTAAGTCCCAGTTGTCCAAAGTATAAAATTAGAAATAAAATATTTGCCCGTTACTTTTTTTTTTAAGTCTCCAAATTAAAAGATAGCATTTTTTTTCCATTAATCCAATCAACCCCTCTTTTAGGCTAACACGATACATTAATTGTCAGTACACGCATTATACAAATTCAGCTTCCAGCATCTCATTAAAATCGTAAAATCGTAATGTTTGACATCATATTATTAATGTGTTATTATTCTCTTAATCCTCTTAATCTTTGACATATTATTAATGTGTTATTATTCACTTACTTATAATACCAACAATTACAAAACAAAAAAACAACAAACAAAGAAAACCAAAGAAAACCAAAGATTCATGTTCACAAAATAAAAGCCAGATATAAACAAAACCAAACAAAACAATATACATGTACATATGTATGTGTGTGCGTGTGTGTGTGTTTGTGTATACACGCAGCAAATGCGTATATAAAGAGCAAGAATAGCGGAAATATTTGTACCTCTCCCGTGTTAGCGAAACAGGAGTGGAGGTAATTCTCGTCCATCCAGTGATGCAAATCGCCGACCCAGAGAGTCTTGTTATCGGCGCCGCCACCAGATCCCGTCTGCTGCTGCTGCTGCTGGTGGCCGTGGTGGTAGGGGTGGTGGTACGCCGCCGCCATGTAGTGCTGCGGCGGCGGCGGAGCCGCGTAGTGCTGATGATGCGGCGGCGGCGGCATCATCTGGTGCTGCATTACCATCGCCGTCGCCGGATACTGCATCGCCATCCACTGAGGCGGCGCCGCCGCCGTCGGCTGCTTTTGATTCTGCTCCTGCTGCGTCGAATCAGAGCCGTTCGATTGCATCTTCCCCGCTACTCTCTCTCTATCTATATATATACTCCACTATATATATATATATATGAAACTAAGCTATATATTTCTATATCTATATATATATATAGCCAAGGAAAACTCTTACTTTATTCTTGGTGTTACTAGAGAGATAAAGAGAAGAGGAGAGAGAGGGGGAGGCTGAGGAGCAGAAGAGAAGGAAAAGAAGGAAAGACGGTTAGGGTGTAAGCGAGAGGTTAAATAGTGAGGGGTTTAATCTGAGAGGATGACGGATTCATGGGTTCGCTTCGTAAAACGCGGTTATGCTCATTGCCGTTTGATGTGGCGGTTGAGTGTAATCTTAGCCGTTGATTCTCACCAAGGGTCAGGGATTAATATGAGTCCTTCACTTCGTTTATTCGAGTTTATAATTCGAGTTGAAATATAATTTTATGTGAGAATTTTTTACTGTAGCAAAAATATTAAATGTGATTATTTGTAAAAAAATTTTACTGTAACAAAATTTAAATTTTAAATTCAAATTAATGAAGTGAACGGGATCATATTTTTTAGATATGACATTTAAGTACTCCAGTTTTGGATGGGTTTCTTTCTTCCCTATCTATTCTGAGATCCGCCGCCATCTGCCTCTTTAAGGTTTTTGAGTTTTTGGAGTTTTTTTTTTTTGAAAAGGGTTTCAGAAGATAAATTTCTCGTTTTAGTTTTTTTTTTTTTTTTTTGCTTTATTTTTACCTTGACGTGGTGATTTTCAACCACTTGACATCATCTAATATACTGTGAATTTTTTTTTTTTTTTTTTTACGGGGGTAAAAAAGAATGGTGATTCATAGGACTAACAAACGAAAGCAAAGCAGTGGAGACGTGTAAAATTATTGGGAAAAAAGACATCATTATATTTACGCAACAAAAAAATAAATTAAAATAAAAATAATAAAAAAAATAAAGAAGATAAAGATTTAAGTAGTTTAAAAAAAATTTCTACGTTTACATAAGAAGAAGAAAGATTTACTAACAATTTTAAAAATTACATACTCAATAAATTTTTTTAATTTTTCTCTCTACCTATAACCTCCTACACCATTGTCTATCTCTCTCTTCACTTTTCTCTCTTTCTCTAAGTGGATGCACTTTTTCTCTACACTTTTTTCTTAGCACACATAAAATCTTACACAAAATACTTATTTATAGACTCTTAATAACCCTCGCCCAAAAATAAAAAACAATAACTTACTAAAAAACACGAAATAGTAACTTTTTCAAAACTAATTTGAGGTACTTATCCAACAATCTCTACATTGACACAAATTCTCTCAACTCACTCATTTTGGTATCCAATCTCGAAACTCGTCATTACACACACAATGCAAACTTCAACAAGAATAAACATATATCAAATTCAAACTCTTATCAAACTTGACACGAAAAGCTATCTTCTTATTCTTTAAAGTATCTTCACTGCTACAAGTCTTCACCATCTTGTCTTTATCATCTTCAACTGTTATTATCTTGTTGCACTCTTTTACTCTTGCAACTTCGTTCACAACAGATGAAGATTTTTTGTGGCTTGCCTCCACCTTCATAGCTCCACCTACAACCGTAGTCTCAATCGGCTTATACAAGTTTTTCACTTTTTCACCCTTTATGGATACTAAATCACCTCTTTTGACTTGCATAAAACCACTATTTACATAGTACTCACAACCCAAAGTGTCTAAAACTCTTAAAGAAACTAAACTTCTCATTAGTTGAGGAACATGCCTAACATTTGGCAATGTCCTCACAACTCCATCAAACACCTGCACATTCACAATACTTATTCCAACAGCTTAAGCACTAGAATCATTAGCCATCAACAAATTACTAGCATCACATGACTTATAAGAATCAAACCACTTTTTATGTGGACAAATATGAAACGAACATCTAGAATCTAAAATCTAAGAGTCAGAAATATTTTCATCAGCAATAACAAAATACACATTATCTTTACTGTCATACCTGTCGCCAACAACATTTGCAGAATCTGAAGTCTCTTGGGGTTCTTGCTTTCTTCTTTCTTCTAGATGCTTCGTCAGTTCTACACAGTTTCTTCTAATATGTCCCTTCTTATGACAATAATAACACTCAGTTTCCTTCCTTGACTGAAATTGGGAACGATCATCTTTCTTATCATAATATCTCCATCGTGACTTGCTCCTACCCTTATATGAATCTGACTTCGCCACTAAAATTTGTTCATTATGAGACGTACTACTAGGTTTTTTCATATTTACAGTCTCTAAAATAGCAGTCAACACCTCATCCACAATCAACGTCATCTTTCCAACTAAAAGTGTAGTCATTAAAGTCTCATATGATTTGGGTAGTGAGGCCAACAAAATTACCGTTTTAGCTTCCTCTTTAATTTTGAACTATACACTTAACAATTGAGTTATGCACTTATTAAAATTATTTATATAATCCCTAATATCAGTTTCTTCATCCATCTTCAACTCATACAATTGCTTCTTCAAATATAATCTATTTGTTAGGGATTTCGACATATAAATTTTTTCTAATTTTTTTCATAACTCATAAGGAGATGTCTCATTCATGACACTATATTTCAGGTGATGAGCCAAACTTAAACGAATAGTGCTTACCGCTTTCGCTTCCAATTCTTCCCAATCTTCATCTTTCATATTTTCTGACTTCTTTCCTTGTAACGCTTTTAGTAACATCTTTGACCATACTCTGCCGGATGTTGAAATTACTCTTTCTATCAAACCGCTCAATCTGCTCAAATTTTATCTCAGACATCATCTTGACCTCTTTTTTTTTTCTTTTAATCTTCACCACAACTCTGATTTTAGTTGTCGCTCAATCTACTCAAATTTTATCTCGGACATTATCTTGACCACTTTTTTTTTTCTTTTAATCTTCACCACAACTCTGATTCTAGTTGTTGGGAAAAAACAAACCACTACACCCACGCAACAGAAAAATAAACTGAAATAAAAATAATAGAAAAAAATAGATAAGACAAAAATTTAGAGAGTTCGAAAAAATTTCCTAAAAAATTACACACTCAATCATATTCTCATCAACAGTTTTTTAGTGTTTCAGATTTAACATCCGCAACAGCTTATAATTGTTGTGTGCCACGAGCAATGCAGGAGCACACCTTCGGGCCGAGCCATCAATCTGCGTTAGAGTGGGACAAACTGGTCTTATGTTGTAGGGTTGCAGACTTGGCCTAGCAATATTTAAGCATATTAATTAGATTTATATTTTGTTAACATTTATTTAGAAAATAATCTTACGCCTAATCTAATCAGCTACCTCATTGTTTCTACCATTTTCTTTTTTCATTCTTTCCCCATTTTCTAAGAGTACGTCAAAGAGCATCACTAATACAATACCAAATTGACGTGTCAATATTAAATTTTGACATTTAAGTGAAAATCATCGATTGTACAATTTTCTTTATTAAATTTGACAAATGCTATATACTTTGTAGTTATTATCATCATATGTGCAAAATAGATAGCTATTAGTTTTATTAACCTTTTCATTTAATCATTTTGTACGAGACTTTCACTATAATTGATAAAAATTACAATGCTTCTAGAAAGAAAAGCGAGAAGAGAAAAGGGGAATTCGGGAGAATAATAGAGAAAACAAGGAAAAATAAGCTTAGAACACCGCTAAATATACTCTGGAGCACTTTGGAATACGTGCAGATGCAGTTTGGAGGCTAGGGCCTCCGTATAAGCATGCAAGGCACCTTATGAATGTGAATGAGGCCTCCATTTATAGGCTTGGTGGCTGAATCTCTCTAGGATAAGATCTTCTATTTGAATTATGATAGGAGATATCATGTGGATAAGTCTGAAGTTTGAATTTTAATTAGGATTGAGATTATCCCGTTTCTAGAGGAGATATCCTCATTTAAATGAGATTCTCTGAGATTTAGGGAGATAATCTCATTCATAATCTAATCCTTATTTGGTAACTTAGGCACCAAGTCACCCAGGCAATTCAAGCAGCTCGCCGGACAAGCTGTCGGTCCGTCGAGTCGTGACCCGTGAGTTGTCCGAAGCTCGCGGCTTGATTCTGATGTGTTGGAGTTGTTCTTTTAGGTCATTCCTTGATATGGGAAGTCATGGACTCAATAAATGGCTTGTCGTCCGTTGGAGACTCATCAGACTACCTGTTGGGCCCGTGACCTGTCGGAAGCTCTCGGTTGATTCCATAGGCTAATTTTATGATAAGCCATTTTTCTCTAAAAAACGTAGTGATATGTGTATGGTGAGAAATGAGATATGGAATTTGACCTCAACAATTATACATAAGAAGCATTACATATATATTATATGGATATATATTTAGAAATAAGAAAAGTATGTTATATACAGGTTAGTAATGATTGTGGTTTAATAATATTTCGTCATATATGACAATATTTGTTGCAAAACATGCAAATTGTTAGCAGCTTCATCTACTGAAATATGTTCAGATGTAATAATAAATATTCATGAGTATGTATCATCCGGGTCTCAGTACTTCTCCTGAAACTTGATAGTGCAGGCTGTAAAGTTCCCTTTACAATAATCATGGTTCGTAATTAACATTTCCTATGCTAGTCAATTTGTTGATCAAGTTCTGAAACTTTAATATCTTTTATGTCAATTCTTGGTCACTCCACTCGATCGTCGCTGGAGCCTTGCAGAAGTGTGCGATATTTATATTTTGAGGATGATAGGTTACTATTTAAAAATTTATTAATTAATGATAAAGAGAGATTTAGATATAAATACTCATTTTTACATTTTTAATATCAGACCCTTCGGTCATTTTCGGAGAGTTATAACACCATATGATCACTGGACCGATTACTGTAACCACTTCTATACCGATGAGTGTGAAGTTTTATACTAGGAAACGTGAGTTTCCTATATTGTGAGCCACATATTTATTTAATAATTATATTAAGTTATTTAATTAATTGGATTAATTAAGTGATCTAATTATGAAAATGTCAAATAATTTCATAACAGAGTATAAGTTGAATGGGTGGATACTCATATTGACCCAACTAGGTTTAATGAGAGCCTAATGGGACAGTATATAAAGAAACTTAAGTTATGGTCCCCAATACGTCAAATCATTCGGCAGTTTTCATTCTTCCCCATCTAGAGAGAAAACACCCCATAACGGAGCTAAGGAGATTTGACTAAGGAA